AATTGTTTTATTTCTAATCTTAATAAAACTATTGATTAGCCTCAATCGTATTATGAGGTTTCTTTGGATCCTAATTGGGTAAAGGAAATGAATGAAGAAATTGAGGTTTTATATAGAAATCAAACTTGGATTATTTCGGAATAACCACCTGGTAGGAAACCTATTGGGCGCAAGTTGGTTTATAAAATTAAATACAATTCAAATGGAGAGGTTGATAGATTTAAAGCTAGATTAGTAGCTAAAGGTTACAATCAAAGGGATGATATTGGCTATGAGGAGACTTTTTCTCCTATTGCCAAAATAGTAACAATTAGGATTGTAATTACTCTTGGTGTTAATTTTGATCGGATGTTTTTTCAATTTGATATTAACAACTCTTTTTTGTATAGTGATCTTGATGAAGATGTATACATGATTTTATCTCTGGGATATCATACTAAGGGTGATATTCATGTTTTCAAACTGTTAAAATCATTGCATGGGCTTAAGCAAGCTTCAAGAAAGTGGAATGAGAAACTTTGTTCCTCTCTTTTTGAATTTGGATTTTTTTTAAGTATTAATAATTTTTCTTATGTGTTAAATTTGTACATGATTGTGTTGCTATTTTGTTAGTCTATGTTGATGATATTATTTTGATTGGTAATAATTTGGCAGAGATTGATAAGGTAAAAGGCTTTCTAAAATCTAAGCTTTTAATAAATATCTTGGAAAGTTGAAGTTTTTAATTTAGGAAGGGGGGGGGGGGATTGAAGTAGTTTATATTAATAACGGTTTTTTTTTGAACCGGCAAATCTAATCTACTCCTAAGCTAACAACACCTATTCCACCTATGTCTACGACGGGACTTGAACCCTCGACCTCAAATAGGGAGGGCACCACCTGATACCGCTGGGCTACAAGCCTTTTGGTAACGGAATTTCTTTAACTTAAAGAAAATACGATTTGGAGCTATTGCATAAGTTTGGTCTGTTAGAATGCAATCTTGTTAAGACATCTTTATATTTCATTGTTATAATTAAAGGTGATAATGTTGGTAAATTTTATTCTTTTTTACAAATTATAACTCTGTTTCAAAATTAATTGGGAAGGTTAATTATTTGACTATTACAAGACCGCATATTTATTTTATTGTTCAAGTGTTAAGTCAATTCATGGTCTACGAAAATCTGAATATTATTTTGAGGTTACTTCGTTATTTGAATTTTAATCTTGGAAAAGGGTTTTCTATGTTAAAGTCAAGTTGTTTTTCTTTGAAATGTTTTGTTGATGCTGACCGGTTATACTGTTTTCAGGGGGAAATACATTGATCTCATGGAAAAGTAAGAAACATGAAATTGTTTCTCGTTCTTCCACTGAATCAGAGTATCATGCTCTCGGAACAATTTCATGCGAGATTATTTGGATTTTAATGGTTCGTTTTGATCTTGGAATAAATGATTTAATTCATGTTCCAATATTTTATGACAACGAGTCAACTAATTGTTGAATTATCAAGATATTATAATACAAACTTATAATTCATTTATATCCTTTTATGTATCCTTTAATATTTGTGGTTTTTTTGTTATTCTGTTATGTTTTTTTGTATAGAAGGGTATGTTGTGTATATTTGCAGGAATATTGGACTGAAGGTGTGGTTTGGTTGAAGTGTAAAACACGCGGGATGTATTTGATCCATTGGTGACCCGGTTGACTAGTCTAGGGTATATATTTCTCTATGTGTTTGTGTAACATTTAGAACACACAAATCAAATTTACTTCTTCGTCTTCTTCGTTTCTTTTCTCTCTAGGGTTTGTTCTTAGAATCTATTGATTCTTTCTAATCTCGTGTAACAGAGTGTAGATTAGGTGAGAGGTTTGTAGTGAGGATTCTTTGTAGAGAGAAGAGAGAATATTGTAGTGAGGTTTTATATGTAAGTTTGATGAAAACCTTCTGGTTCTTAATAAAAAGAACTGATGATGTTGTGATTTTGTGTGTCTTGATTTCTTTTGATGGTATCAGAGCCAGGTTGCGACTGTTGTGTTTTTTTGGTTTTCTAGATCTGGTTCTTCAAGTTAGGGTTTCAGATCTTGTGATCTGGAAGAGTTGTTACAATCTGTTGAGATTGTGAGGTGATCATCAATCTGGTTGTTCTCTTGTCACGTCTTAAGAGTAAACGTTTGTGATAGTTGTAAACGCTTAGGGTTAATCCTAACGGTCAACGCTATCTCAACGGTCAACGTTAAGATCGTGCAAACAAGGTTCTAAAATCAGATTGGTTCTGGCATTTGAATGCCCAAGTTGTTTTTCAGCGGTGAATCTGTAATAGAGATTCATCAGAACTACATTGCTGCTTGCTGAGCACTTTATAGAGGATCTTTGTAAGTATCGCACACTTTTTTCTCTAATTCTTGTTCTTATTTGTCTGGAATCTTGATTGGTTTTTTATAATCATGACTGATACACCACCTGAGTCATCTACAAAAGTAGATGCTATAGATTTTGATGATCCTCTTTATTTGCATCCTTCTGATCATTCTGTAACAACTATTATAAGCTTCAAACTTCTTGGTACTGAAAATTTTCTTGTTTGGAAAAGTTCTATGACTAGGGCTCTTAAAGCCAGAAATAAACAAGGGTTGATTAAAAGGAACTGAATTAAAGGATAAAACAGATACCACTAAATCTCTTAAGTGGGACAGGGTTAATGCTCTAGTTTGTTCATGGATTCTTAACTCTCTTTCTGAATCCATCTATATTGGACATGCCTGTTCTGAGTTTGCTTTGGATATATGGAATGAACTTTGTGAAACCTATTATAAGGCTGATGGGTCAGTTGTTTTCAATGTTCACCAACAAATTAATAGTCTCACACAAGGTACTCTATCAGTGTCTGATTATTTTAATAAGTTGGATGGACTATGGAAAGAGTTTGATGGCTTAACAAAGTGTCCTGATTGCACTTGTGAAGCAGCTACTAGTTCTAAAAATCACTCTAAACTAATGAAGCTTATGCAGTTTCTTAGTGGTCTTGATGACTCATATAACCAGGTTAAAAGTCATATTCTAATAATGGAACCATTGCCTGATGTAAGAACTGCTTTTTCTATTATTTCTAGAGAAGAGTCTAATCAGAAACATGGAAATGTTTCAGTTCTGTCTAATAAAATTCAACACTCTTCTGCTTTTGCTGGTAAATTTTCTGATAATAAAAAATTTAAAGGAAGAAATCAGAATTTAATCTGTAAGAATTGTAGGATTAAAGGACACACTATTGAAAAGTGCTATAAGCTTATTGGGTATCCTAAGGATTTTAAACCCAAATCAGAGTTTAATAAATCTGCTACTGTGTCTATTGTGCCTTCTCATATTAGTGATAGTGCTAATGTTCTGCTGTTTCTTCTGATAAGTCTGATCATCATTTTCTAACAAATGATCAATATACAAAGTTAATGTCTCTTCTTCATGAAAAGGAATTATCTGAAGGAGTACCTGTTAATGCTAATATGGCAGGTATGTTTTGTAATAATGTTTTCTTTGATAAAGAGAAGTGGATTATTGATTCAGGAGCTAGTCAGCATATGACTGCTTCTGAATCACATCTTTCTGATTTGGTTGATGTTTCCAAACTTAATTTGAGAGTTGATCATCCAAATGGTTCAACTGCTAAAATAGATAAGATTGGAAATATTAATCTGTCAAATTCTATTGGTTTATCTGATGTTTTTGTTATTCCAGAATTTCATGTTAGTCTTTTGTCAGTTCATAAGATTTGTAAAGAGAATAAATGTAAAGTCATTTTTGATGAAAATAATTGCTTTATTCAGGATTCACTGTCAATGAAGACTGTGAAGACTGGTAAAGAGTTTGGAGGTCTTTATTATTTGGAAAATCAATTGCTAGGTAGGTCAAACTCAGTGTTTAATAATCATAAATGTTTTGTTTCAAAATTGACCTGGCATAATAGAATGGGACATCCAGCTGATAAGGCACTTAATTGTTTAAAACCTTTTTTGAATTTTGAAAATAATCCAGTTATGCCTTGTGATGTTTGTCATAAGGCCAAACAAACTAGAGAGCCGTTTCCTTTGAGTGAACACAAGTCAGTTAGTCTTGGGGAACTTGTTCATTTAGATGTTTGGGGTCCTTACAGAGTTACATCCATTGGTGGTTTTAGATTTTTTCTTACTATTGTAGATGATTATACTAGAGCAACATGGGTTTATTTGATGAAGTCTAAAGATGAATTGTTTACCTGCTTTCATGAATTTGTTATGTTGTTAGAAAATCAGTTTAATGTCAATTTAAAGATTATTAGATCTGATAATGGAACAGAATTTGTTTAATATAAAATGACAAGTTTTCTTAAAAACTAAAGGAGTTATACATCAAACATCATGTGTTCATACTCCACAACAAAATGGAGTGGTTGAACGGAAACATAGACATTTATTAAATGTTGCTAGGTCTTTGTTGTTTCAAGCTGGTTTGCCTAAAAGGTTCTGGGGAGATTCTATTCTGACTGCAGTTTTTTTAATAAATAGAACTCCATCCTTTGTTTTAAATGGAAAAACACCTTTTGAGTTGGTTTATAATTGTGTTCCAACTTATGATAATATTCGTGTTTTTAGGTGCTTAGTTTTTGCTACAAAGTTGAACAATACTGATAAATTTTCTGAAAGATCTGAGAAGTGTGTTTTGATTGGATATTCAAGTGCTAAAAAAAGGTTATAAGTTGTTTAGTCTTGACAATGGTTATTGTTTTCTTTTCCAGGGATGTGAAATTTTATGAAACTGTGTTTCCGTTTAAGTTGGCATCTAAGTCTATTGAATTTTTGAGTCTCTAGAGTCGACTTTTCCACATGCTAAGGGTT